TCTGTGCGCGGAGTCTTGTCCTGAGGTTTAAGTTTTAAAAGAGGGCAAGATGTATGTGTACCTAAGAAGTCAGGGTATGATCCCACCCAGCACTCAGCTAACGTTATCGTGGCTCCAATCTCTTCTGCAAGCTGGTCCATCAAGTTGTCTGAACTGTGTGAAATCTCTTTTCGGGACACAAGTTCCTCTTCTGGTGGGGACCAGGCCCACCCTTTTCCTTCTTCCAACGTGAGACTCCTGAGGAAATAACAGTGTTTGGAGTACCATTGCTACAAAAGTCTGGTAACCTAAGGAAGGGTTCAGTATATCCAGGGTGTATGCAGACACCTTCAATACAGGTCCACCTCCAGTGACCTATTTCTACCAATCAGGCTCCACCTCTTATTTTCTGCCACTACCCATTAATGCCTTCAAATTGTGAACCTTTCAACTGATGAATCCATTGGTTTGTTCAAAGCCCTCATGATCCCATCAGTCCCTGAGAGCCTTATCTCTAAACACCACATTAGGGAACAAGTCTTTGAGCCTTTCGGGGTCACTTCCTAGCCGAACCACAACACTTAGAGGTGCTGAAGCTACTGGAGTGGTTGTATTGATGTTATGTGTGTGCATTTAAAAACAGCCTTCCTGTGTAGAAGTGTCATCAGAAAACATTTAGAAAGGGCAGTGACCTTTCGTAAGGACATCTTATTAAGATGCTTTACATTTTTGTCGTGACCATAATTTTTCTAATTAAACAATATGTATTATTTATTAATAAGGCCATTCACAGGGACAGGCAGCAAATTGGCCTTTACATTAAACTTTTAATGCTACATCTGTAATGGACATTCTGAAACGCTGTATAAAAACCAATCCTCTCCTTTCTATTTATATTGAGACAACTTCAGGAGGCTCCAGTATGGCTGTGTATATGCAAGGTCCTTTTCTTTGTAAAAGCCTTTTTGACCTAGATTAATAAAACACATTCCTGGAAATGCTTCCATTTCTGTATTCTCAAATGCCTCAGAACATCAATGTGTGTGTGTGTGTGTGTGTGTGTGTGTGTGTGTGTGTGTGTGTGTGTGTATTTCAAGTTTATGTTGCTTTCTAAGGAACCCTTAACTTCATCACAGTGTCCTTGGTAAAATACACTGAAAAGAACAATCTGGTCATATTCCTTTCTGCTTATTTTTTTTCAGTTACTTTCACTGGTGGTTACAGTAGAGGTCTCATAATCTATTTCCCTGTGTCTCTCATTTCCTCTACCCGACCACCCCCCCTACCCCCAATTCTTTCCTCTTTCCCAGCACTGATGCAGTAATGTCAAAACTCTTTAGGCCACATAGGACACCCTCCCTTCTCCCACCACCATGTGCTTTCCCCTAACCAAAGAACTTCAGAATCTGTGAAAGGCAATCCCTCAAGTGGAAGGAGAAACAGACTGAGCCATGACTATAGTTGGAGATCCCGTCAGCCTGCTCTAAGGATCTGAGAGAACCAGGAAGGTCAGGGGGAACTGAACTGCACAGTGTGGTCACCCAGCTGACAACTACATCGAAGGTGTGGTCAGAGAGAAGAAAGTTCTTGAGTCATATCTCCTCCCACTTTGAGAAGCAGGAAAAACAAGAATTAGAAGTTACCCTCAAAGAAGAAGGAAGGGTGGAAGGGAATCAGTGAAATTCCAAATATGAATGTCACCGTTTAACAAAACTAAAAGGCTGATTCTTTGAAAATACCCACATGACTAATGTCCCTTTAACAAGACAGACCAAAAAAAAAAAAAAAAAAAGAGGCACATCCTTACTAGCGAGAATGAAGAGTATCACCATAGACAGCAAAGGATAGGAGCTGCTGCCTCCAATGCAGTAACTCAGGGGTCATTTGAGAAACTGCCAACTGTCCCATCCGACACAGTGTGAAACCAATAACCTGAACAGCCTTATATCATTGAGGAACTAGAATCCAAAGCTAAAACTTTCTGAGATAGCGATATTTAGATCCAAATAATTTCACAGCTTGTTGTATCTGACTTCCTTCCTTCCCTCATCCTTCCTTCCTTCCTTCCTTCCTTCCTTCCTTCCTTCCTTCCTTTCTCCCTCCCTCTTTCCCTCACTGCCTCCCTCCCTCTCCCCTCCCTCTATATCTCTCTATCTTTCTGAGACAGGGTCTTACTTTATGGTTCAAGGCTGAAGTTCACTATGTAGATGAGTCCTGTTTTGAACTGACAGAGATCTATCTGCCTCTGCCTCTGCCTCCCAAGTGCTGGGATTAAGTTTGTATAAGGCATTTACTATAACTAATATAATTTATACCCAATCGTTTCCAGAAAAGGGAAGGATAGGAACCATACCTTCCCTATATTTTGTGACGTCAGAATTTCTACTGCAAGAAAGAAAGTAACTATACCAAAGATAAAAAGAAAAAAACATTTTTTCATGAATAGAGATAAAGCATATCCTCAGAAATTATTAGCTAATACAATCTAACAGTTTGTTAAACCTGAATATACTAAGACCATCTGGGATTCATTTGTGATTACAAGCCTATTTCAATATTTAAGGATTTATGCAATCTATCATATTGATTATCTAAACAAAATCCCTACGAAAACATCAGTCAGTGCAGAAAAAGGATTTGGCAAATTTCAATACCTATTTACAATGGAAACTTTAGCCCTGTAAGGAATGAAGGGAATTCTTCAATTTGATAATCTACAAAAAGCCACAGACAACACACTTACTATTCTCTCTAGCCTATATACACAGGCATGGTAAAGGAATAAAAGGTCCTCATACTGAAGGGAAAGAAACAAAATTATAATTCCTTCCCAGATGTTATGATAATCTGTACATAAAATCTCAAGGCACATTCAGATAATTCTCAGAAATAAGTCAGTCTATCAGGGCCATGAAATATACCATCAGCACAAATAAAATTTATGTTAAGATACTATCAGTGGAAGCTAAGAAATCATAAATTTTATTTTTTTTTGAGACAAAGTCTTACTATGTAGCTCTGGCTGTCCTTGGAACTCACGATGTAGCCCAAGCTGGCCTTGAACTCACAGAGGTGTGTGCCACCACACCTGGCTCGAAACTTTTTAACAACCACCTATGAAAACTTGGCTCTAATGAAATACTTGGCTAGAAACCTGACAAAGCACACTTAGCATGTATATGCTGAAAATTATAAAACATCAACAAAAGAACTCAAAGATTAACTATTGAGCTATATCCTGTGTTCGTGGATTGGAATGAAAGAATTGAGGTCAATATAGTTTTCTACCCCATAATGAAGATGTTGATTTTTCCTAATTGATCTTTTGATTAAATATAATGTCAATAGAAATGCCAGCAGAATTATTTTTGCAGCTATAGAAGAGTTCATTCTAAACGTTGTCATGGATAGGTACAGGATATGAAAGAGCAAAAGCAAATTCTTAATTTTCTTTCTACCAGAAACAATTTTGAAAAAAAAAGAATCAAGGTAGAAGAATCACGTTGCCCAACTTTAGAATTTCCATCAACAGCTTCAGCAATCAAATGAGTGTGCTGGATTCCCAGAGACCACACACAGGTGAAGGGCATAGAGAATGTCTAGATATACATATGGATTCCAGTTACTTTTGCAAAGGTGCTATGGTGGTTTGAATGAGAATGGCTCCCACGGGTTCATATGTTTGAATCCTTGGTCCCTAGTTGGTGAAACAGTGTGAGAAGGAATAGGAGGTGTGGCTTTATTGGAGGATATGGGTCAGTGAGGATGGGCTTTGATATTTTGAAGTTCTCTCTCTCTCTCTCTCTCTCTCTCTCTCTCTCTCTCTCTCTCTCTCTCTCTCTCTCTCACACACACACACACACACACACACACACACACACACACCTCCCTGACTAGTCCTTTGGGTCAGATGTAAGCTCTCACCTATTGCTCAGAACACCATGCCTGCCTGCTGTCATGTTCCCCAGCATGACGGTCATGGAGCCCGTGAAACTGCAAGCAAGGCCCCAATTAAATTTGCTTTCTTTTATAAGTTGCCTTTGTCATGACATTTTGCCACAGCTGTAGAAAAGTAAGATGGGTGCAAAAACAGCTGCTCGAAGAATACCGTATTTAACAAAGGGCATGGAAGAAAAAACATCATATATTTGTTAGAAGGGAAAATGTTAGGCTCCACTCCAGACCTACTGAATTATGATATCCTTGAGCAGATATTAAGCAATATGTGTTTTAAATTTTATTAATTATTTGATGATTTATACATTCATAAAATGCATTTCAATCATATTTATCCCAAAATCTGTATTTATTTTTAAGATTTATTTATTTTCTATGTGATGAATATATTGCCTGAATATATGTAAGTGTACCATGTGTATGGCTGGTGCCCATGGAAGTCAGAAGAGGGCATCAGATCCCTTGAGTCTGGAGTTACGGATGGTTGTGAGACACTATGCGGGTGCTGAGAAATGAACTGAGGTCCTCTGCCAGAGCAACAAGTGCCCTTAACCACTGAGGCATTGCTCCAGGGCTGCCTACACCTTTATCTTTCCTGTGTTTCTGGTGCTAGCTAAGGTTTGGATACTGCATGCTGGGTTTCGCAACCATCACCTGGTTAACGTCATATCTTACTATTTAAAGCAGGACCCTGGATCACTTCAGGGGTAGTTAATGCTCAAACCACTGGGAATTCACTTCACAGTGTCAGTTTTGGTTTCACTTGGTCATGGAAGTTCTACTCTTGCCACTTCTAGCTTAATACAAACATTATTCATTGAAACATTATAGTTCCATCCCAGGTCTGTCCATCTCTCACATATAAGCAGATCTTAATTATAAACCCCAGTTCAGAAGGGAGAAACTAGAGCACTGACTACTGTTTCCTGTGTGATTTGCTAATGGTCACTGCATTTCAAAAGTCATGTTCTTTCCAAATTATGTGTTCAACTCTAACTTCCTTACAAAATTTAATCATTACACTCTGGACACTCCTTTTTCTTGTTTTTAAATTCCAGTTGTCTCCTGGTGCTTGCCAGCCCAAGCAGAGAACGTCACTCCCTGTTTTAATGTCTCCGTGGGTTTCTATAACACAACTGCAGAAGTTTCTGGAACCAAAGTCTGTTGCCAGGTGAAGCTTTCCATCTGAAACTTGAGTGTGACATGCTTCCCCGTCACTTGGAGTACTGTTATAATTAAGGGCTGGTGAACCCTCTTTCGGGCTGAGTTAGTGAGTGTATGATGTTTATTCAAACAGCTTGGTTTCAATAAAATGTCTAAAAGTGTGTTGCCAGCACTTTCCCCATTAACTTTTAAATCCCTGTGAGTTTCAAGGGAAATCCAGTTCGTATGTTTCTCATTCATTTGCATTTAACTCATCAGAATATTATTTTGCTAGAACATGTTCTCATCCAAGTTTGGGCAGATAACTCTTGAGATCTTCAGCTTGGAGGATATTCATTAAAAGTCTACAAAATAGAGAGCAAGATGAAGCTTCAAAAAGTTGGGCCATACTTGGCTTTGTTCCGAAACTTTGCTTCAAATGCCTTATTCTTGAATTTGTAATAGATGAGCAGCATTCTTTTACTATTCCAGGAAAATATGATCCTTCATTTGGTAGCCTTGACTCAATCATGCTGGCAGTATGGAGGGTGACTGCAAAGAATGAACAGTATACGGGATACCTGTCTTTTAGTTTTAGTAAGGAAGAAGTTTCACTCCAGAAACATCTCCAAGACAGTGATCTATGTGCCTATTTGATACTGAAACTTGGGAAACAGGCAAGGGACCTGGTGGCTTATTCCTGTCCCCTGAAGGCCATTCCTAAGGAACTTCTTAGGCCATAGAACTTTGTGAATTAATGTTTCGATTTCTTAAGTCTGATTAGAGTTAAAAATGTGACATTCGGTGCTTTTACATTAACAGCAACATGGGTATAAGAAATGGTTCCTATTTGTCATGAATACACTGTGTTAGAGCTAACAGTGTCTAATCATGAAAACATACCCATCTTAAGTCTTTCAATGGAGAGCCTTTAACAGAGGGATATGGTCAAACAGAGATAAGAAATCGCAAGTAGCAAAGCAAGAAAACTGAACTCAGGAAAAGCTAACAGAAAGAGGAGGAAGCTACTATGTACAAGGCTAAAAGATTAAAGGTCTTGGAGCTATGGGCATATTGGAGGCTGGAAGACAAGATCCTATGGGGCTGGGCAGCAGCCTTCTAATAATTAGAGATGCTGTCCAGCTGTTCTTTCTGAGACCTCTACTCACCTGAAGTCCCTGCTGCATAAAGCAGACCCTGTGCTTCTGCACAAAGCTGATGCTAGAAATGATTGTGTCTTCCAGGGTAGAGAGACCTGCTACTAAGAGGTAAAGTCCTTGATGCAGCAAAATAATGGGGCAGAAGCAGCCTACAGAAGGAAGGGTTTGTTTGGTTCACAGTTTGAGGATCTAGTCCATCATGGTGCAGACACATAGCAGCAAGAGTGGGCAGTGGCTGGTCATATTGGAGCTACAGTCAGGAAGCAGAGAGTGATGAACACCGGTGTTCAGCTTTCTTTCTCCTTTTCATTCAGCCTGGAACCAGAAATGATGCTAACAATATTTAGAGAAGATCTTGAGATCTCACTTAACCCAATCCAGAAGCTCCCTCACACACATGACTAGAGCCTTGTCTCCAAAGTGAGTCTAGATCCTGCCAAGTTGACAGTCAGTATTGGCCATCACAACATTGGTGGTCATTAATTCTTTTCAATTTCAGAGGCTACATGCTTACCTCCTTATTCTGCTTCAGTCTCTAAGAACTTTATCATTCTCTTCTGTGAAATGGGCCCAGTTGTCATTGCTATATCTGTCTGGATGGTGTACTTTGAAAAATAAATAAGCATTAAGACATTTGGTAAGTGATAGAACACTGAATACATTTAAGCATTATATTCCTTCAACAGGAAAATTTAAAATAAGAAAAATGAAAGGCGAAAGTTGCTTTTAATCCTGCCATGTATTGAAGTAAATGATTTCTTTTTTCATGTAATCAGTTTTATTTCCTACTATTATTACTATTTTAAGCTCAGAGCACTAGAATTTTCATCCCAGAACACGTGAGTCAACCATTTCTCTTCTAAAATAGATTCACAATTTTTAAACAGTAAGTTATTTTTTACGAAATAAGTATACGGAAGAAGGAAGCAATTTTAAATAAAATCAGATTATTAAAAATAGTGCTAAGGATATTTTACAGCTGGATGTAATGGCATTAAAAGGAAAAGCTTAACCGTGTTTGTAAAATTGTAAACAAATAAAAATCCATGTTGCTTTTTACTTCTTCCTAATTATATTGCATTTGTGCAGGTTCAAGTGATAATGTTTATAAAGTATGATATAATTATGGGACCTGATATAGAAATATGTTTATACTTCAGATTTGAAATTACTTCTGTATTGAAATTGAATGCTTGCTTTGCAGTATTATTAAGAAATAAGTGTCAAAAAAAAAGAAGTGTCATTCAGCATCTGGAAGGGAGGATTTAAAGACATCATTTCAAGTGTATGGTTCTCGGCACTGACTGTCCTCAAAAGTCTGGACAGGTTGTGTTCTCTTAGCAGCAAAGTGCCATTTTTTGCCCTTTTCATTTTTGTATTTTCATTTAGTAAAGCAATGCACAAATTCAATGAAAATCTATTACCCGTAGAGCTCATTTCTAACAATTACCGAATCAGAATTGACAGTGGGTACCTTCTCCTGAATTTTCTTACCAGGTAGTTTTCATGATTTCTTCCCCCACTTTTTCCTCATCAAAACATACAGAACTGGTGTGGTATCCTTTGTAGCCCCCAAGGTGTTTTATTCTCTGGCCCTCTCTATCACCATCACTAAAAGTGGGTGGCAATAGACTGTTTCCCCCTTGGGATATTGTTAGAATAGGCTGCCTTTATGTGTATTATTTTCTCAGTCAATGAGCTTTGGAAGACAAAAAGCTATCAGTCTGTTACCCAGTGGCTTGCTTTCACACAAAAATACCCTTAGGGGAACCACGGTGACTGGTAGAGGAGAAGGCATCGCTTCATGTTTCGGCTTCTTCCCATGAAAATGAATTGGAAAGGTAGGGCTGTTGTCACATGGGGCATTCCAAGGGGAGCACCACAATCAATTGGAAAAGGGAAATGTGAATTCGCAATAGCTATTTGGTCTTCCCACTCCAGTGGCAGAGAATGTTAAAATTGTATCTGGTCGGAAGCATTCATAGTCACAATTGAATTTCACTAGAAGTGTCTCACACAGTGCGTAAATGAATGCGGAGTCGGCATTCCATCGGCCCTTTAATGAATCTCAAGGACTCACACAGCCAACACATTGTCCCTAGAAGGTGTATTTCTTCTAGGGACAATAGAACGTATATATGTATGACACACACATATATATCTATTTTCTCCCAAGGAAATGGTCCCAAAGTGAGGAACATTATTCTTTCAATATAAGTGCCCTTGGGATGTCAATGGGGTGTTTTCTAATCTTCACCCTCAAGTTACTTTTTTTTAAAATGACTTTACAAAGTCAAGAACTGTTCTTAATATGGCTGCATTGACAGTGTATAAGGTTTGCAGAAGCTGTCACAGCATCAATCAAATGTCAAGTCTATGGAAACGTTGAAATGTCAGTCAGAGTTTACCTATTAATGCACAGGATTTTCCATTTGAGGGGGCTCTGCAAGTTTCAGGGTGTTTCCTACTGCTCCCATTCACTACAGTGGGTAACATTGGTGCATATTTTGTAGGTTACCTTCTCATTGTACCTGTGAAAAGTCAGGTGGGGTCATAAATTAAAAGATACATATGCATATAATCTGAGGAACATAAAGAGAAGAATTCAAGGGTTTTTTTTTTCATACCTTGAATACAATCTTGTGACTAGGGAATACCACATTTAAGTATATTCCATAGTCCTATGACATTTAGACATTTCTATATTGCAGCAACATGTCTAATATAAAAGGCATGATTTGAACATTTTTAAGCATGCAGTACAATGGCATTAATATTTCCAAGTTATTATGTGACCATCACTACCACCTGTCTTTGGAGCTTCCTCTTACCAAACGGAAAGTTGGCCCCAGGATGCTTTGATTGGATATGGGTGAATGTATTCTCCAATGGCATATACTGAGGGATTGACAGGACTGATGGTAGGTGGAGCCAAGTTGGAGGTTATTATGTTATTGAGGGCAGTGCCTGTGGCAAGGAAGACTCAGAGGAAGTCCATGAGAATGTTGCTATAAGAATCACAAGTCTGCCCACTGCTCCATCCCCAGCCTCTTTGGGTTCCTGTGCGACCTTTCTCTTGCATGCCTCTGCCATTATGATGCCATTCACCATGTGGTGATATAATTAAGGGGGGACTCTTTCCAGAGCCTTGTCCTGCTGTTTGACTGTCAGCTTTTGAAACTGTGAGGGGTGTGTGTGTGTGTGTGTGTGTCTGTCTGTCTGTATGTATGTATGTATGTCTCTGTGTCTGTGTGTAGGTCAGAGGACAACCTTGAGTATCAGTCCTTGTTTTCCCTTTTGCTCAAGGCAGAGCCTCTCCTGCTCACTGCTGTATGTGACAGGCTAGGTTTCCTTTGGGCTTCTGAAGATTCTCTCATCTCCCAGGAGGGTGCCCTGGTGTTACATATGTACGATTCTCCCCTCTTATGAATGTATGTATAGGAACTGAACTCAGGGGGTCAGGCTTGCACAACAAGTACTCTGCTCTCAGAGTCATCTCTCCAACCCCTTGTCTTCTTTATGAGTATCCAAACTCAGGTATTTAACGTGGTACAGAAAAAGAAAGCTGGAGTCATACATTTTCAATTGAACTCTTGTAGGTACCTTGTATAAACAAAATCATGAAATATTTGTTATTTGTGTATGATTTCTTTCACTTAGCACAATGTCTTAGAACTGTATCCACCTGGCTATGTTTTTTAATGATAAACTATCTTAGTACTAAATGTTGAAACTTCCTTAACACCCAAACAATTCTTGAAACTGCCTTCCACTTTAGTGCAGTTGTAGGGGCAGAGTTCAAATAAATTTAGATCAGAAACATATATCAATTCCTGTATATAAATCACTGCTGTACATAGTCAGGTGT